GTAAAGTGCCTTGAGATGACATGTGTTGTGAATTGGTGCTATAGAGATAAACTGAATAGAATTTGCTGTTCTATAATTGAAGCACAGCTGTTCTTTGGGTTTATCTAATAATAATCTCAAATCTAGTTTGTGGCTTTAACAAAAAAGTGAAAAATTGTACGAATATATTTGCCAGTATGTGCAGGATTTCAGCTTATAGAATTTACTGAGAGCTCTATGTCTCTATAGACAGTTTGCTCAACATGGTCACTACTGTCTAGCTGCCGTATCTCTGCGCTGTCCAGTAAATATAAAACCCAACTTTGGGCTTAATCATTCCCACAGTGGCCAATTACAGCTGCTGTGTGTAACCAGTAACTCTCAACGGTATTCAGAGAAGCCGGGTACACTGGTCAACATCAGACACACCGACAGGCGAGCATGTGTGCTCTATGCAGAGGGGGAAAGGATCCAGAGGATGGGAAACAAAAACTCATTTATTTTACCAAAATGTACATAAATTAGTGTGTGCAGCAGCAGGGAGAGAACATAAGGCCTCCTATACAGCAGAACTGACGTCAGACGGCAGCAGGGATGACAGGAGCCACTGCTGGGTGTCCTCATGTTGCCAACATGCAGGGAAATAAATTGGACTTGAACATATTAGAGGAATAACCTTCAAACGGCAGCATCACTGAACGCCTGCGCAAAAGGAAGCAACCTGAGTAGGATTATATACGGCAAGATTATCTTTGCAGGACGTTCCTTATTTATGCTCAACATTTAGGTAACATAGTTATAAGTTTATAAAAAAAATAAGAAGAATTTTGGGTTTTGCTTGTTGTGTTGCAGGAGTATTTTACTAAATGCTTTGGGTTTTTAAATCACAAAAAAAAGGTCCCTTTGCTAGTTGGTACGATAACAAAAACGTTAAATACAAAAGATTAATTAGCATTTTTACGACCAATTTTATTCTTTCATAAACAAACTATTTCAACCTGGAGAGAAAAACACAGAGAAAAGCTGCAATTAGAAAAGTTTTATTGACGCAAATGAAATAAGTTCTCTGGCGCTCGGGCCCCGGCAGAAGACTTTGATTCTGTGAATCAACATTTGCTCGGATGATATTAATGCTCTGACTTTTGCACCCTGTTGATAAAAATAGGCGCTACCACAGGTCATCCATCCCTGCTGTAACCAGACTCCACAATGCCACGCTACAACCAGAACAACTGCAGTTATTATTTAATACCCTGTGCAATAAACTGTTTCTCTATATCTGACACCCAGTGCAGAAGCTTTGAATACAAATATCTATCTCTATAAATACCCATGTAAATATCCTCTGCAATAACCCTGTATAATAATCCTACTATAAAAAATAAATCAAGGTTTTTGGGTGAATGGAGCGGCGGCCTAGCGCCCTCTATTGGCCAGCAGACACTGCTTGACAAAAACTTGTATTAAAGTGTTGTGTTGTGACTCCATACACAGCTCAGCAGCACACCTAGTGGTGAAAATATGCTAACTACTCCTATCATAACCCATGAAATAAGGTGACTATATATACCGTATATTACATATATTTACTGTGGAAAAATATTATAATTAAAACAGGGCTTTTTTTCTCGTTGATTGTACGGCTTTCTTTATTCTATATAACAAACAAACTAAGCAGAGACACACACTGATGAGCTCTGCTCAGTAATCTGTCAAAAATTGACTCGATCCATATTTCTGACAGACGGAAGACGGACGCTGTCTGTCACGTTCCCATGGAGCCACCTGGAATTC